AGTAGTAGTAGTAGTAGTAGTAGTAGTAGTAGTAGTAGTAGTAGTAGGATTCAGGAAGCATGTCATGGTTGAAATTGCAACCACAACAATTGCAGGTTGAAGCACGCGACGAGGGAGAAGGTCCAGACGCTATGTGAAGCCATTGATGACAAGCGTGAACCGCCACAGCCTGACGAGAACCCCGAAAAAAAAGTTCTCAGAAAAGTGATCGTTTTGGAACATCTCCAGACATTGGCCCAGAATGGCAACATTTTGATGTGCATGCCTAACGTCGGCACCTCAAACCATGCTTCTTTTCGTGCGCTTGGTGACCATCCAGTGAAAGCCATTGCAGGACACACATGGCTCACACTGTCGAATCTGAATGTTTGGGAAGTTGGGGGGGTGGGAAGAAGTTGGGAGAGTTTCAAAGTTTCACTGGCATAGGTGGCATAGGGAACCCTTTGCAAACAATTGTACCGTCAGGACTGTCAGAGCCCGGACCAGCCTCAAGAGGACAAGTGCAAATGATCAAGGACCAGCCTCAAGAGGACTTTGACATCGACCAGCCTTTAGCTGCCATCAGTTCGGGAGGACCTGGGATGGTGGGTGCTCAACTGGCAGATTCATTTCATGGACCGGGTGGCTCAACTTTGGCAAGGTACTTGCCAGACAAACATCTTTGCGAGGACCATACCTTTTTTCGCATTTTGGAGGGGTCAATGTCAAAGTACACCCTTCAAGGGAGTGTGAAGGATCAAAGGCATGATTTCATCATCCAGTGCTACTCGGCACTTTGTGACGAACCTCAACTACAAAAAGATGGTGGCAAAACTATACTTGTCTGTCCGGCCGGTATGCCATTGGTATGGGACACCAACAACATATTGTATGAGACATTGGTGTCAGATTTGCTGATTTGGCAGATATCTGGAGCACAATACCACCCTCTAAAAGTTCCTCACCTGTCCCATACTCAGCTTGTTTCCAGCAAGATTCATAGTCAGAGAGTCTTAGTCATATTTAATAAAGCATGCAGAATGCAGAAACTAGAAACTAACACCATGAAGAAATCTTATCAGATAAGCTTAGGTCAGATGATGCGAAGCAATTGTTATCCCGCATGGTTCAGAGTGGTTCAGCAATGGGGACATCCAACCAGAGATCATACTTTTGTGATCCAAACACAAGAGGGCTGCACCAGCTGATGCAGTTCAAGCTTATCCAATTGGTTCCAGACGATTTGAACTCCTACCGAGTGCTTCCGAGAGGTTTGGAATGTTTGGCTTTGTTGCAAGAAGCTACTTGCTGTGGAAACCTGATTGAGCACCGGCGATTGGAAACCCTAGAGTCTTTGAGTGGTGGTTTGAATTTGGAGGCATTGCTTATCCGCTTGAATCAGAGAACGCGTTGGGAACTCCAATTGGAACTCCTTCACCAGGGCTGGAAAGACAGTCAAAAGACTTCCAAACGCAGACTTGATCCAGTGACTACTGAAAACTTTCAAACAGATGAGAAGGTCTATTACTTTGACAATCAGCAGCTTGCGAAGGAATATTTGGTATGTCTCTTGCTCCTAGAGCACCTGTTTCAAGCAGGATTGAAGGAGTTCTATCACTTCCAATTGAACAGCTACTATTGTTTGCTGATTGACTTGCTTCAGAACCGGCCAGAGAATCTTGCATCGGCCAAACCCCACCAGGTCTCTGCCTACTACAAGGAATTGATGGTGCGTAATCATAACAAGAAGAGAAAACCAACACAACAACGAGATACAGCTGTTTCTCCGGACGAATCTGACGTTGACCAGCCCATACTCAGTGTTGATCCAAAACCAACTTCCGCAGAGCTCAAGTTCAAACATCGCAGGGGAAGGGGTGGCAGGCGTGGTCGAGGAACTGGTAGACAGAAACAAAGGTCACAGCCACAGTCTCCACAGTCCATTGAAAGCAAAGCATCTTGTCCGGATGATGATTCTGACATGGATGCACTCAGACTCAGCTCCCAGCACACTGAACTGCCACCAGAAGATATCTCCCCACCACCTTCATGTGAGTATTCACTCCTGCATGGACAACCTGCATCCTCATCCAGAGCAGCAGATCACCGGCCACCAGACGAAGCCGTCTCCCCTGCTTGTGAACCACCACCAGCCACATCAGCAGCAGCAGCAGCATCATCATCATCATCATCCAGACCAGAAGCTCCAGCTCCAGCCTTGGAGAGAACAAAAGCCACCGCCATAGTTACTCAAGAGAAAACAAAAGAACATCCAGCAAGATGTTCAATTCCAAAGCTTCCAAAACGTTTGGACCAGCCTGGTGCTGTTGTGTCTCGTACAACCTTGTGGTCAGAAAATACTATATGGGCCGGATCAGTTCCGCTTATTTTGAGATCAGATCAAGGTGGAGTAGTCTGGATTGAAATCAAGATCACTTTTAGTCTTAGGGTGTTCTTTATGTTTCATGTAGTCGTGGTTTGTGTGAGTCAGCACTTTAGGAAATGATTGAGAACGTTCCAGCGTGTTGCAGCTCAGGCACCATCCTACATTTGCACTTGCCCGTTGCACAAAGCAAAAATCACCTCTTCGAGCGGCAGGGACCGCAATAGACTTTGCACTAGGTCAGAAAGCACCCGGACTTCCCATGAGCTAAGTGTACGTCGCCTGAAATGGTGGTTGGTTCAAGGCCGGCCGGACTCCGGACTTGCACTTTCTTGAAAGTATCAAACACTGACAATGACCGGCCTTGTTCTTTGTTTGGGCCAGCGGCCAGGTCATTTGCTTCAGAGAGAGCCAGGCCAGGCCAGAACCCGGACAGTTGGCGTATGAATTGGGTTGGCACTTGGCACAGGTGAAACAGACGAAGAGCTCCGCAAAAGGCATATTTCCTTGGTACTATCCTGAGATGATTTCGACTAACATTATTTGTGTAATTTTCCACCAAACTCTTCTTTCAGGTTCCTCCGCCAGAAGCTGAAGTGGAATCCTCAGAGGTTCTGGATGCAAGGCTCAAAGAGCTGCAGACCCCTACGCCACCTCCACCATAGTTGTGGTATATGTGGTATCCATACCGTCCATCCGCTAGAAAAGATGGACACTGAATGAACCACTCAATTCACATATTCACATATTTGCATATTCACATTGAGAATGGATTCTGGGTGTGTGGCTCAATTGGCCTCATTGTGGGGTCAACAAAGAAGTGTGGGTGTTGAATCCAAAAAAAGAAACGAGTGATGTGGACTAAATTGAAAAATGGTTTCCAAAACACCTGGACAAGACCACAGATGTAATTTAAACAAATCAAAAAGATAACAAACCCCACAAACAATTTCAAGTCTTGAAATTCCTTATCTTTTTTTCATTTCTTTCTAAAACCTAAATGAACTTATAAAAAAAAAGATAAGGAATTGACAGACCCAGCTATTCATAGAATCCACCAGGTTGTATTGCAAATGCAAGCAAACAGGTCCATTCCATGAATAGGAAATCTGGGCACCTATTCAGCAAAGCGAGCAAAACATATCCAAAAGCAACGATATTGGGTAGGTTTGATGAATAGGCACGTGGGGTCTGTTCCTTATCCTTTTTTTTAAAAGTTCATTTAGGTTTTAGAAAAAAAGGAAAAAATAAGGATTTTCAAGACTGACATTTTGTTGTTCTCCCAAACCTAAAAGAATAACAATACAGAAATTGTCGGACACCATGTTTACAATATTTTAGACAACAGAATACACAGAAAACTTTTTTTCTTAAACAAAACAACTGACTGACCTACCAGAAGTGGCTGACCACTTCAAGCCATGGACGAGAGCTCAGACGAATGTCAGAACCAGAACGAGCCCTTGGAAGAGCCCGGCGACATTTCTGACCTGTTTCGATGGCCTCAGACGTATGCGAACACGATGTTGAACAATGACGAGAACATGCTCAATTTTAGAAACATTCTCAAGTACAATATCCAGCATCATGAGAATTTCAGTGGCACTGGATCAGCAGGAATAGCTCTACACATGGTCCACACAGCTTTTACAAGGAGATTAGTGGCTTTGGAAACATCACGTACAGGCCAGGTATTGCAAGAACTATGTTGTATAGAGGAATCAAAGCAAAGTAGTTCGCTTGGCAAACAACCACTCACTGACTAGGACTCGGGAACATCTTTTCTTATCTGTTTTCGGAGGTACTGCCGTGGACACCACCAACTTTGGCCAGGTACGGACGGACACTGCCTGTGATTGGGATGTTCACTGCCAAAGTGCTTTGAACTCGTTGGTCCAGGAGCTTAGCACCTCTGTTACCTTGTTCAACTTCTTCAGTAAAAACTCATAGATAGAGGAGACTTTTACTTTTGTTTGTTGCTCAACTCACGTCAGGAGTTCAGGCCAAACCATGTCCATGAGTCTTTGGAATGCAAAGTCACAGACTCCGCCATTGCAGAGCTTGATGAAATCGAAGATTCCATCCACCAGGAAGTTAAGTTTCAACTTGCAGAAGCAGAAGCACTTAGAGGTGGTTGTACAAGTGTACACTTTGGTTTTGTCAGAAACATGTTATTGTTTCACAGTTTACTGGTTTTACTATCTATAAGATTAGATCCTGATGAAGGTGAACTGGCACTGGAAGACGAGACAAGAATCAAGGCTACCTTTGGGGAACAATTGCTGGACCGCTTTATGAATGTTCTACATAGACCTGATGTCTTCAAATCCACGGAGCCGTGTACAAACCCACGCCACAAGGACCTCTGTTGTTTCTTTTTTTTTACTCTTTGAGTGCGAAGTATTACTAAGTGTCCACTTATATACCCAGTTCAAATTCTGATTCATTTGTTTGGAAACCTGGAGTCCTGGAGGATTTATCATGCCCTACACCAGTTGGGAAAGCAACGCTCGAGAATGCTTTGAGCACTCAATCTGTTCCGCCGCTGAGTGTTGAGACTAACACTAACACTAAGAAGAATCAAAGTCAAAGTCCAGATACAGATGATTCTGATGCAGATCAACAGTTGCGTTCAGTGGGTACTGATCCGTCACGGCCACAGCCACAGCTAGATCTTGTTTCTCATCTTCCTGTACTTCGTGTTGCTTCGGGAGGGACAGTATGCGTTGATGTCTCCAACATAGGCGGGCCATCGTGTTGTGTGACTGTTTCTCTTGATTCAATTATTATTGAAACAAACAAACTAAGTATAACAAACTGTACTAGTACCAGTACCAGATCACAGTCTGCAGCTGAGCTAAGACAATTACAAAGACGTTCTGCTCGGCTTTGTAGGGGCCAAAGCTGGATTGCTTGGCCGGAGCACCAAGAGTCTTGCTTTGTTTCTTGCTGAGCGCCACCATGCCAAGGAAGTCACTCGATTAGTTTGCAACGTTTACTCACTTCGTTGAAATGAATTCTTACGGAGTTCAGTTTGTTGTCAGCCTCTTCCAACCGCCATTGGCTTGCTCAGGCAGTGATTATTCATGAATGCACAGGTGGCTTCCTCCGGTGGGTCTTGATGCGGTATCTACCACAATACGAGTGGCACTCTTTGGTTAGTGTCAAGACACCTGAGGGCCGTCGTGTTGTGCAGGGTGCATGCAATGACCCGGCTACGGAGGCGTTTCTTCTGAATCCATTTGACTTTGGGTGGCCGCTGAATCGCCCCAGGCTGTTCACTGTAGGGACACTGAAGGGTACATGCTACCTGAATGCAAAGCCGGATGGTCAATCTGGATTGATTGAAGTTCAAAGATTGTTTCAGTCATGCACATTGGACTGCCGATCTTTGTTTGTAGCTCCCCAAGATTCTCGGCTATTTGTTAAAGACTCTGTTGCCCAGTCATCACCAGTCCTGCAACACATAATGCAGTACATACTACTAACCAGTCCTTCGACACATAATCCTACTACTATCTACTATCTACTATCATCTACTACTACTACTACTACTACTACTACTAGTAGTACTACTATCTACTACTATCTACTACTATCTACTATCTACTACTACTGTCTACTACTACTACTATCTACTACTACTACTACTACCACCATCTACTATCTACTATCTACTGCTACTACTACTCCCTCTACTCACCTTCCAAGGAAGAGGTAGAAGAAGAGAGGCAGAGAGCTGCCAGTGTGGCCACCAAATCCAGAACAAGTTCATTTGCCGAGCTACTCAAAGGTGGGAATGGATCATAATGTTGAACAAAAGTTGAAGTTACTCCTGGTTTTGCGACAGGGGCCAAACAAGAGTGGTTGAAGAAGTACAAACAGCATCCAAAAGTCCAGAAGCATTGGGCAAAGCGGGGAGGCAGGGATTCTGGCGGGTTCCTTTCTAGAGACAGTCAGTAAGCGTGCTGGTATGGGTGGTAATGAGTAATGGGAGTTCATCACTCATCATGCGAGGCTATGGAATGGTTTGCAACCTCAACCAGAACCCTCAGAAGCGGCCAATTGTGGGCCAACGTCTACCAACACTTCTGCGGCAAGGTGTTATGTTTCTGATTTTGAAGCCGCAAGCACCAGCATCAGCATCAGCATCAGCAGCAACTTCTCCACAAGTTCGTGTTGGCAAAGAAGAGAGATGGCTTTTGGCAAAAGACCCTGGGGTTAACTTAGATCACCCATATTTTAATGATTCTGAATTCTTTCGACTTGCAACCTGCTTTGAGACTTTGGGACATCTGCTTTGATCAAGGAACACCTTAACAGCATGGGGCTGTATCAATGGAGTCAATATTCCAATGGGCATCGGCATCCTCTTTTTGGCGAGCCACCTAGTCAGGTAGCTGCACGTAGTATGGCGGGTAATGTGACTAGGTTGCACTGCTAACAGTGCTGCACTATTTGCGATTGATGGAGGAACCAAAACGGCTCATGAACCATTGTTTGAGGCCATGCATATTGCGGTTGTGGGAGCTTTGTGGGCCACATTGCTGAGCAACCTGCGCATCGTTGATTCAGAAGAACGTAGCGGCAGCCAGACTTAGAGTTTCCGCAAAGTAAGCAGGTGCAGTGCACGGTGCAGGTGAAGGCAAGGTATGGCAAGCTGTAGGCTTGTAAGGCAAGTTGTAGGCAGTTGACAGTTGACTACTTGGCTTTTTGCCTGTCACCTGAGTCACATGTCTCCTGACTCCAGCACAGTCATGAGTCATGAGAGACGTTTTGAGAGCTGGCGGCGGCTGTGGCTGGCAGCACCCTCAGCTCAGCAGCCGTCCGTGATATCAAGAGTGATCATGAGACAAGAGTACAGACTAAGAGACTGAACTGAAACCTGTGGGCAAAATGGGCAACATGCTTCAACTTGTGCAGCTGTGGAATCCAAATTTCCGTTTTTAACCGTTAGTTGCTTGAGCTTCAACTTCTTTGACTGATTTCTTGCTCCATTCTGGATTTGTGCTGATCGATCAGTTGATGGTTCTTTTGCCGCTGCAAAGCTTTTGAGCCGACTGTGACAGTGACAGCAACTTGCACAAACCAAGTTCCAGTTGGCTGGGACCTGACCCGATTGGTTTTTCCCAGCTTTCATTTGGGTGGCATGTTATCCAAATGTGCGCGGAATGAAACAAACAGGCAAGTAGTGGCCTTGCCACTGCCACCTGAGCCGGAGCCTGCAAAGAGTGCTGAGGGTGCAAGCGTTGATTCATTGGTGAGTTGCAAATGCGAAGTGTGCCTGAAGATATGCAATCGGAATCCAAACCGGTCAGGGACTCATTGTATTTGATTATTTCTTAAACATGAATGATCGATTAGAGTGAGCGACAACCACTCCGACTCCGACCCAATATCCATTTGCAGCCAAGGATTACTCAACTTTGTCAGACTCATTTTGGTGATCGAGAATCTCTCCTTGCTCAGGCTCACACACAGAGTGTGCCTGATAAGCAACGTGGCAAAGGCAAAGGACCTCAGCCTGAGACCAATTTCAGGGAGCAACTGCTGACCATGGAGGAGGAGGAGCACGATGCCTTCATCGTCATTTTGAAGGACTACTCCAAAAGGTGTTGACCTTATTTTGTTTTCATCCAGTTGGTTGGTTAGTCAATTCCAGGTC